CTGAGAGGAATTCTCAGACAGTAATTCTATACTAAAGAATTTTTACATTACTATATGTATCTTGTTTAGCTTCATCACTTCAGGTGTAAGAAAATGCTAGTTATTGGTTAATCAGTGTGAGGTCCATGGAGTTTGGTGTGTTTAATTTCTACTTTGGGCTAAATATATTATAACATTAAAGGATTCCTTCATTTAATACTCTGTTTTTAATTTTCTTCCCCACAAAACCTTTCTTGTTTTTATCATGACAGGGATACAGCTGGTCAAGAAAGATTTAGAAGTCTTATTCCAAGCTACATTAGGGACTCATCTGTTGCTGTCATTGCTTATGATGTTGCAAGTATGCCATTTCTTTTTGCTGATTGTTAACAATAACAACAATAATAATACTTGAGTTCCTCAAGGGAATGTGTGTCCAAGAGCACCAAAAAAGCAGATGCATTCTTATTCAATTTTCTTATGAAATAGGCCGTCAGACTTTCCTAAACACATCAAAGTGGATTGAAGAGGTGCGCAGTGAGAGAGGCAATGATGTTATTATTGTACTTGTGGGGAACAAAACTGATCTTGTGGATAAGAGGTAAGAATGATTTTATCAGACGGTTTATTCTGACATGTTTCTTTTGTTTTCTATTAATTACCACCTCTTTGATTTTGATCAATTCCTAATACATGACTTTTTGACCATTTTAGTACCTTCTTTTCTATAGTATGCATATGAGAGAGATGGAGCTGGGTAAATATGGAAGAGGGTCTGTAAAAGTTATGAACACATTTAGTTAAAATATGTGCCTGCTTCAGTTTCCAGGAAAATTTGTTAAAATATGAGTGTGTATGTGTTCTTAATCTAGCCGAACACAAGTTACAAAATAAATGTTGTTTCCTGAATTGGTGAACTTGGAAAGTGCTTCATTCTCCCAAATCCTAACTAGTGCTTTAAGAGTGCTGTTTAAATTTGAAGGTGTCACTGGATCACTTCTACTTAGAACCGTCAAGTCAGCCCATTAACAAGATTTGGCCCTAGTCCACGTGGATTGGGACAAAAAAGCCCACAGGCAAAAAAATTATGTTATTGAAAAAGTCCCAGGGCTAAAAGCCCCAAAGTCCTATTCGTCAGGACCAGCCATCCGCCTTTTTTTTTTACAAAAATTTATGTACAAAAATATAAAATCATCATATCAAATTATACCAAACAGATCACTCACGCAAGGCATTATGCAGGCACCAAATAATAAAACCCCACATGTTTAAGTAATCAGAAAAAATGCATTGCTTTTAGAGAGAGAAAGATATAGAAAAGGTTGAAAAGTAATGGAGAGATGATTAACCCAGATTGAGAAATGTAGAGAATAAGTTTATGATAGATGAAAGATGTGTTCATTTGGGAACCCGAGTAAACTTTTCTCAGAACATCACGGTTAAACTAAAAGCACGAGAAGAAGTATTTGAAAGAAAACCTAACCTCGTTCACGATTCTTCTTTCAACCACTCGATCGTTGATATCGTCGCCGCCTATACCACCGTGCGTTGCCGTCAAGTGCTGTGTTGCCGCCGCCTGTACTGCTATGCGCTGCCGTCTCAGTAGATTGTTGTGGAGCTCTTAAAGGTAAACGTTTGTCAAGAAAACAGGATGTCCAGGGTCAACAGAGGAAAAATGGGGTTTTGGGACTAGGGGCTAACCCGGCCCTAATTTAATCCCAACCCATTTTCTGGGGTTTTGGGGGCTAGGGGCTCTGGAAAAAGCCCCCTCAAAGGTGGGTCAAACAAAATGGGCCTCAGTGTAGAAAAGGCCAGGGTTGGCCTTGGGGCTTTGAAAAAATTTGACAGCTCTACTTCTACTACATCACATAAGTCTTAGAAATTAGCAGAGCCCTATATTGTCCCTTGAAGGAAAGATCTGGATTTGATCCTAATCTTTGGTTGCTTGAATTGTTTGGCACTCGAAATGTTACATGCTCGACTTACGTTGTTGTTTTGATGTCTTGTAAAAGTGTTCTTTTAAACTTTCCATTTTTCTGCTCATTTCTGATGCCACCTTTTACTTATGAGCAATATAATTTGCACGAGTCTGTAGGCAAGTCTCTACTGAGGAAGGGGAAGCTAAGTCTCGTGAACTAAATGTGATGTTTATTGAAGCTAGTGCCAAAGCTGGCTTCAATATAAAGGTAAGCCTCCTCTACTTTTGCAATATTTGTGTAATTAATTGTCTGTTTAATAAGAGCGATTCTATGCAATATTGGTAATTGTATATAATCACTTCCATATAATTTTGACCACTTGTAAGATGAAATTGACCACATTTTCACATTGTGGGTAGAGTGTTGCAGTTATGACTTTCAAAAAGCCAATTGTTTGAGTTACATGATTACCTGCATCTGCTTGCATGGTTTTGCTTATTTACTGGTTTTGACTGATTGACATGTGAAACCTATATTTAGGCCCTCTTCAGAAAAATTGCTGCTGCATTGCCTGGAATGGAAACACTATCTTCCACAAAACAAGATGACATGGTTGACGTGAACCTGAGATCTTCTGCTGGTCATGACTCTCAACCTGATTCAGGAGGATGTGCTTGCTGAATGTGCCTTATCTTGAATTTCTGTAACTTTTTTCTCTGTTCTACTTTTTTTGAAATGTAAAGGTTCATTTGTGTTTTAGGCTTTTTACTCTATTTTATAACAGAAACTACAGATGGCTGATAGAACAACTAATATTGTTATACAATTGTGTAGTTGTTGGCTATTCATTGTTACTTTATCATTTTTGAAATCTGAAATATAAACATTCACAGATTCACTTTCTTCTTCATTATTGCTTAAAGAGATCTAGAGATGCCAACACATGCATTTGTAGATTCAACACAACGCAATCAATAGTTATTAAAGAAAGCATCTGAGTTAAATAATCTAAAATGAACAAAAAGTGTTGCTTCTTCTGTTTTTGGTCCTATAACTTTTTTAAGAATGCTTAGTTTTAGTTGTTCGAATCAAGTTTTTAAACTTTTAAAATTAACAAAGTTTAATCCAATTCTTAATTTCCCGGTAAATTTCTAAAAGACATACAAAGAAAACAATCACGTCAAAAATAAAATATTATTTCAACAACTAAAATATCAAAAGAAAATGCAGAACTTTACAAAAAAAAGGTTGTTTAAGTTATTCTTTCCAGTATCCTTCAAGACAAGACATCTTTAGTAGATCCTATTCAAATAAATGATGAAAGGAAACAAAAATAGAATGAATTTATACTTTGAAGGAGGCCTTGAGGTCCCTCTTAATGAAAAACAACCCAATAAAAAAAACAAAAGTATGCAACCGAAGTAGTTCTCTTACGAAAAAAATTACGAGAAACAATATATGATATAATTAATCACAAAAGAGAATGTTAAAATTTTTAATATAAAAAAAAACTGTGAGAAGTAAAAGTTTACCAACACGAACCAATCAATTAAACTAAAATTAAATAAACACGAGGATAAAATACTCATATCAAAATCATTTATACAACTAACTAACACATCAAAATTATAATCTGCCCAAATTTATAGATAAAAAAAAGTCTATAAAAAGACAATGGTTCAAAAATTGATTTTTCTAACATAAGACCTCCTATTCTATAAATCCTTTTCTGAAAATTATATTCTAGAAAACATGTTCTAAAGTTCTTTTCAAAATATACAATCCAAAAATTACTTTTATGTAGGATAAATTATTATTTTGAAAATCCAAGAGTGCAAAAAAACATGTGGAGATACCGAAAAAAAAAGGCTAAATTTTATGACATTAATTTTCTTGTTCCAGCTCCGTTACTAAATGCCCAACCCAGAACATTAAATTAGGAAAAAATATGTTTTTAATTTATATAATTTAAAATACATGAATAAAACATTTATTTTTAAAATGATTGAATTTATCTTTTTATATTTAAGTTATCATTTATGTTTAAAGAAAATACTAAATTACATGTCTTTATTTATAAACTTAAAGAACAACACATCCACTTGAAAAATATAAAAAAACAAAATACGATTTGAAAAAGAAAGTATAACGATAAAAAAACATTATTTTCTCCTAAGAAGAACACGTGAGGTAGCATTCTCCAAATTCCAAACTAGTAACCTTCCTGGTGTCTCTCCAATTTATTTTTGTCAAGAAAGTCATTAGTTGACTTAGTCTACAAATAAACCCTTCTTTTAATCAAATCATAAATTTCCTGTTAACACATGGAACACGATCAATTAAAACCACATCAAACATTTCATTTTCTTAAGGGTGTTTTGACTTTTCAAAAAAATATTCCAACTAAAAAATAAATTCGAAAATACCATAAATTGATAACTACCTATCACTCTCACGCAATCATCTGTCTCGTTAATTTACCTTTTTGTTTATAAGTTTTAAAATGAATTTTTTATTACAAATAACCTAATTACAGGCTAAAAAGTCATATACTTTAGTTTATTTGTAAATATATTGAATTTATAATGATGGATTTAACAATAAAATCACTCGTTAACTTAATGAGAAACCATCAATCAACTTTAAACTTGGAATCTAAACATTTTTTTGAAAATGTTAATCAAATAGTCGATTGAATATAAACAAAATTCCACGTCAAATAAAATAAAATTAGAGATATAAATATGTATCAACCTTTCCAAACATGGTCAACTTTAAAAACATTAGTCATATATATACCCAGTTGTTTCCATTAAAAATATCAATTAATAAATTTCAATAAAGTCTTGGTCGTTATAAATTTTCTTTAATAACTTAAAAACGGTAAATAGAGAGAATAAATAAAAACGTGTAATATTATAATTGTATAAAAGGATTGAAAATTGTGTCCAACTGAAACTTCCTCGTAAGACACGTTCTTATGTATGTTGTAATAACGGCTGATATTCAAAGGCACAGGAAAGTGCTTCACCATTAATAAGAAGCAACCTCTTTCTTTCTCTCTTCTTTCTCTAACGTTTCCCAAACTTCATAATATTTAACTCTTTTCTTCTTCCTTCTCTTCATCACAAATCTTGTACATACATTTTATCGTTTAAACAACGAATCATAAATCACGATGTCAAGAACAGTGGAAGTAACAGTTTTATCCGCAGAGAATCTCCAAATGAACAAAAAACCCGTAAAAGGATACACATTTGTGACGGTTCACTCCGACGCCGGCACCGACGCAGGTGCTGTCACGAAAGTGGATTCAGAGGGTGGAAGCTACCCTTCGTGGAATGACAAGGTTGTGGTGAACGTGCCGTTGCATGCAAGGTTCATAACGGTGGAGGTGAAGTCCAAAACGACGTCGTCGTCATCGTTGACGGGTTCTAACAGTGTCGGCGTTGCACGAATACCGGTTTCTGATTTCATTGGAGGGTACGTGCCAGAAAATCAGCTGCATTTCTTGAGCTACAGGTTGTGGGACGGTAATGTTAAGAGAAATGGGGTTATAAATATTTCGGTGAGGGTGAAAGTATCGGAACGTTCCTCATGTAGTTCCAATTCTATGCCATTTGCGGCGGTAACAGGGATGCCGGTGGCCGGTAATGGCTCCACCGGAGTTGTCACGGGGATTCCAGCTCTTTGGTTAAACTACCAAAGAAATCTCTGAAAATGTAAAATTGATTTATTTGATATTAGATTGCTCCAATTTAATATGCAATTATATTAGATGGAGAGAGTTTTATATTCAACTTGATTGTCTCTATGGTGTATACAATGAGGGGTTCAGTTTCTGATGTACTGAAAAAGGAAAGTCTTATTCATTGATTCGAAGAGGATTTGCGAAAAAAAAAAGATATCGATATAAAACATCTGTCTGTGAATGTAAATCTTTCATTATTTTGTGCACTCATAATTATAATAAAAGTTCAACTATTAAATTGATGAATATGAACTTAATTTGTATAAACAAAAAAAAAAGAAATAAGTAAAAATGGTGTCACTGTCCGCTCTTGGAGTATGATCTTTTTTGGATGTTCAGTATCTAGGAAAAACCAGCATCATCATGTATGACAAATTTGACGCACTTTTAGAATTACTATGTCGTGCAACATTTTGTGTGTGTGTGTGTGTGTGTGTGTGTGTGTGTGTGTGTGTGTGTGTGTGTGTGTGTGTGTGTGTGTGTGTGTGTGTGTGTGTGTGTGTGTGTGTGTGTGTGTGTGTGTGTGTGTGTGTGTGTGTGTGTGTGTGTGTGTGTGTGTGTGTGTGTGTGTGTGTGTGTGTGTGTGTGTGTGTGTGTGTGTGTGTGTGTGTGTGTGTGTGTGTGTGTGTGTGTGTGTGTGTGTGTGTGTGTGTGTGTGTGTGTGTGTGTGTGTGTGTGTGTGTGTGTGTGTGTGTGTGTGTGTGTGTGTGTGTGTGTGTGTGTGTGTGTGTGTGTGTGTGTGTGTGTGTGTGTGTGTGTGTGTGTGTGTGTGTGTGTGTGTGTGTGTGTGTGTGTGTGTGTGTGTGTGTGTGTGTGTGTGTGTGTGTGTGTGTGTGTGTGTGTGTGTGTGTGTGTGTGTGTGTGTGTGTGTGTGTGTGTGTGTGTGTGTGTGTGTGTGTGTGTGTGTGTGTGTGTGTGTGTGTGTGTGTGTGTGTGTGTGTGTGTGTGTGTGTGTGTGTGTGTGTGTGTGTGTGTGTGTGTGTGTGTGTGTGTGTGTGTGTGTGTGTGTGTGTGTGTGTGTGTGTGTGTGTGTGTGTGTGTGTGTGTGTGTGTGTGTGTGTGTGTGTGTGTGTGTGTGTGTGTGTGTGTGTGTGTGTGTGTGTGTGTGTGTGTGTGTGTGTGTGTGTGTGTGTGTGTGTGTGTGTGTGTGTGTGTGTGTGTGTGTGTGTGTGTGTGTGTGTGTGTGTGTGTGTGTGTGTGTGTGTGTGTGTGTGTGTGTGTGTGTGTGTGTGTGTGTGTGTGTGTGTGTGTGTGTGTGTGTGTGTGTGTGTGTGTGTGTGTGTGTGTGTGTGTGTGTGTGTGTGTGTGTGTGTGTGTGTGTGTGTGTGTGTGTGTGTGTGTGTGTGTGTGTGTGTGTGTGTGTGTGTGTGTGTGTGTGTGTGTGTGTGTGTGTGTGTGTGTGTGTGTGTGTGTGTGTGTGTGTGTGTGTGTGTGTGTGTGTGTGTGTGTGTGTGTGTGTGTGTGTGTGTGTGTGTGTGTGTGTGTGTGTGTGTGTGTGTGTGTGTGTGTGTGTGTGTGTGTGTGTGTGTGTGTGTGTGTGTGTGTGTGTGTGTGTGTGTGTGTGTGTGTGTGTGTGTGTGTGTGTGTGTGTGTGTGTGTGTGTGTGTGTGTGTGTGTGTGTGTGTGTGTGTGTGTGTGTGTGTGTGTGTGTGTGTGTGTGTGTGTGTGTGTGTGTGTGTGTGTGTGTGTGTGTGTGTGTGTGTGTGTGTGTGTGTGTGTGTGTGTGTGTGTGTGTGTGTGTGTGTGTGTGTGTGTGTGTGTGTGTGTGTGTGTGTGTGTGTGTGTGTGTGTGTGTGTGTGTGTGTGTGTGTGTGTGTGTGTGTGTGTGTGTGTGTGTGTGTGTGTGTGTGTGTGTGTGTGTGTGTGTGTGTGTGTGTGTGTGTGTGTGTGTGTGTGTGTGTGTGTGTGTGTGTGTGTGTGTGTGTGTGTGTGTGTGTGTGTGTGTGTGTGTGTGTGTGTGTGTGTGTGTGTGTGTGTGTGTGTGTGTGTGTGTGTGTGTGTGTGTGTGTGTGTGTGTGTGTGTGTGTGTGTGTGTGTGTGTGTGTGTGTGTGTGTGTGTGTGTGTGTGTGTGTGTGTGTGTGTGTGTGTGTGTGTGTGTGTGTGTGTGTGTGTGTGTGTGTGTGTGTGTGTGTGTGTGTGTGTGTGTGTGTGTGTGTGTGTGTGTGTGTGTGTGTGTGTGTGTGTGTGTGTGTGTGTGTGTGTGTGTGTGTGTGTGTGTGTGTGTGTGTGTGTGTGTGTGTGTGTGTGTGTGTGTGTGTGTGTGTGTGTGTGTGTGTGTGTGTGTGTGTGTGTGTGTGTGTGTGTGTGTGTGTGTGTGTGTGTGTGTGTGTGTGTGTGTGTGTGTGTGTGTGTGTGTGTGTGTGTGTGTGTGTGTGTGTGTGTGTGTGTGTGTGTGTGTGTGTGTGTGTGTGTGTGTGTGTGTGTGTGTGTGTGTGTGTGTGTGTGTGTGTGTGTGTGTGTGTGTGTGTGTGTGTGTGTGTGTGTGTGTGTGTGTGTGTGTGTGTGTGTGTGTGTGTGTGTGTGTGTGTGTGTGTGTGTGTGTGTGTGTGTGTGTGTGTGTGTGTGTGTGTGTGTGTGTGTGTGTGTGTGTGTGTGTGTGTGTGTGTGTGTGTGTGTGTGTGTGTGTGTGTGTGTGTGTGTGTGTGTGTGTGTGTGTGTGTGTGTGTGTGTGTGTGTGTGTGTGTGTGTGTGTGTGTGTGTGTGTGTGTGTGTGTGTGTGTGTGTGTGTGTGTGTGTGTGTGTGTGTGTGTGTGTGTGTGTGTGTGTGTGTGTGTGTGTGTGTGTGTGTGTGTGTGTGTGTGTGTGTGTGTGTGTGTGTGTGTGTGTGTGTGTGTGTGTGTGTGTGTGTGTGTGTGTGTGTGTGTGTGTGTGTGTGTGTGTGTGTGTGTGTGTGTGTGTGTGTGTGTGTGTGTGTGTGTGTGTGTGTGTGTGTGTGTGTGTGTGTGTGTGTGTGTGTGTGTGTGTGTGTGTGTGTGTGTGTGTGTGTGTGTGTGTGTGTGTGTGTGTGTGTGTGTGTGTGTGTGTGTGTGTGTGTGTGTGTGTGTGTGTGTGTGTGTGTGTGTGTGTGTGTGTGTGTGTGTGTGTGTGTGTGTGTGTGTGTGTGTGTGTGTGTGTGTGTGTGTGTGTGTGTGTGTGTGTGTGTGTGTGTGTGTGTGTGTGTGTGTGTGTGTGTGTGTGTGTGTGTGTGTGTGTGTGTGTGTGTGTGTGTGTGTGTGTGTGTGTGTGTGTGTGTGTGTGTGTGTGTGTGTGTGTGTGTGTGTGTGTGTGTGTGTGTGTGTGTGTGTGTGTGTGTGTGTGTGTGTGTGTGTGTGTGTGTGTGTGTGTGTGTGTGTGTGTGTGTGTGTGTGTGTGTGTGTGTGTGTGTGTGTGTGTGTGTGTGTGTGTGTGTGTGTGTGTGTGTGTGTGTGTGTGTGTGTGTGTGTGTGTGTGTGTGTGTGTGTGTGTGTGTGTGTGTGTGTGTGTGTGTGTGTGTGTGTGTGTGTGTGTGTGTGTGTGTGTGTGTGTGTGTGTGTGTGTGTGTGTGTGTGTGTGTGTGTGTGTGTGTGTGTGTGTGTGTGTGTGTGTGTGTGTGTGTGTGTGTGTGTGTGTGTGTGTGTGTGTGTGTGTGTGTGTGTGTGTGTGTGTGTGTGTGTGTGTGTGTGTGTGTGTGTGTGTGTGTGTGTGTGTGTGTGTGTGTGTGTGTGTGTGTGTGTGTGTGTGTGTGTGTGTGTGTGTGTGTGTGTGTGTGTGTGTGTGTGTGTGTGTGTGTGTGTGTGTGTGTGTGTGTGTGTGTGTGTGTGTGTGTGTGTGTGTGTGTGTGTGTGTGTGTGTGTGTGTGTGTGTGTGTGTGTGTGTGTGTGTGTGTGTGTGTGTGTGTGTGTGTGTGTGTGTGTGTGTGTGTGTGTGTGTGTGTGTGTGTGTGTGTGTGTGTGTGTGTGTGTGTGTGTGTGTGTGTGTGTGTGTGTGTGTGTGTGTGTGTGTGTGTGTGTGTGTGTGTGTGTGTGTGTGTGTGTGTGTGTGTGTGTGTGTGTGTGTGTGTGTGTGTGTGTGTGTGTGTGTGTGTGTGTGTGTGTGTGTGTGTGTGTGTGTGTGTGTGTGTGTGTGTGTGTGTGTGTGTGTGTGTGTGTGTGTGTGTGTGTGTGTGTGTGTGTGTGTGTGTGTGTGTGTGTGTGTGTGTGTGTGTGTGTGTGTGTGTGTGTGTGTGTGTGTGTGTGTGTGTGTGTGTGTGTGTGTGTGTGTGTGTGTGTGTGTGTGTGTGTGTGTGTGTGTGTGTGTGTGTGTGTGTGTGTGTGTGTGTGTGTGTGTGTGTGTGTGTGTGTGTGTGTGTGTGTGTGTGTGTGTGTGTGTGTGTGTGTGTGTGTGTGTGTGTGTGTGTGTGTGTGTGTGTGTGTGTGTGTGTGTGTGTGTGTGTGTGTGTGTGTGTGTGTGTGTGTGTGTGTGTGTGTGTGTGTGTGTGTGTGTGTGTGTGTGTGTGTGTGTGTGTGTGTGTGTGTGTGTGTGTGTGTGTGTGTGTGTGTGTGTGTGTGTGTGTGTGTGTGTGTGTGTGTGTGTGTGTGTGTGTGTGTGTGTGTGTGTGTGTGTGTGTGTGTGTGTGTGTGTGTGTGTGTGTGTGTGTGTGTGTGTGTGTGTGTGTGTGTGTGTGTGTGTGTGTGTGTGTGTGTGTGTGTGTGTGTGTGTGTGTGTGTGTGTGTGTGTGTGTGTGTGTGTGTGTGTGTGTGTGTGTGTGTGTGTGTGTGTGTGTGTGTGTGTGTGTGTGTGTGTGTGTGTGTGTGTGTGTGTGTNTGTGTGTGTGTGTGTGTGTGTGTGTGTGTGTGTGTGTGTGTGTGTGTGTGTGTGTGTGTGTGTGTGTGTATATATATATATATATATATATGTTGACTTCTTTGTTACTTCAATCGTAAAAATTCTTGTATTCCGTGAAACTTGTTTAATTAAAATCTTTATGCTACATATAACAGCATTACATGATTCCTTCATCATTTAATAATTTTCTAACCTCACAAAAACCTTTAATTTCTGTCTTGCCTGTGGTGATACAGGTAGACAAGTATACCTTGTGGTGCTTCCCTTCCTTTATTAACTTTTATTTTGTGCTCTGCATCATGGTGATAAATAGTTAACAGAGTTACTCAACTAAAATATGGGTTGGACAAAAGCAAAATACTCATTTTCCACATCTCAGAAAGCAAAATTCTCTTTTCTTTTGGATTTTTTTATCTCAGTATATGATAAAGTGAGAGAATAAAAGCACTCCTAAAACCTTTAGAACAAGACATGTTCTTTGGAGTTACCTGTGTCAATTAAAGAAATATTGTCAAGAGAACAAGACCTTTGTCTGAAATTAACCTTCTTTAACAGCTGCATCATGTTTTCCAAAGTCACTTTGGTTTTCTGTTTATTGACATATCAAATCTATGTTGGAGCATTCTTTCAAAACATCGCTGTTGCCTACCTGCAATTGAATTCCACTGAATTAGAAACATGGCTGCCGTGAATCTCAACTGATGGAAGCATGGCCATGGACCTTCACCATCAGAGCTCAACCAAGGGAAGAGACATGAAGAGGGTGACATTCAAATCATTGAACAAACCCTTCCATGAGAGGCGATCTTGCTCCATCGCTGAGTTGCCATGCTGAGGGGTTTCCATGCCGTCGAGCTAAATTCTGCCGAGCTCCATGTTGTAGAGCTCCCTGCTGTCGAGTTTTCGTGCTGCCGAACTTTCATGCTATCAGAGTTTCCGTGATATCTAGCTTCCGTGCTACCGAGCTTCCATGCTGCCGAACTTCTTCGTTGTAGAGCTTCATGCTGTTGAACTTCCATTTGCTTCTGCCAGGAATCGCGCCCCAAACATGACCGGCCCTAGAATGGTACGACGTTTAGAGCTCGGTTTGCAAACCGTAATATAGCAGCCAGTCATTCGAAGCCAGATTGTCCAACCTAATCCTGTCCAAGCAAGGGGTAGTATCCACACAATTGCTAGAGGGTTTGTAAAGGGAGGGAGCTCTCGGACTGCACAGAAAAGGTATCAAAGAAGCATTAACTCGATGAGCCATAACATTCTCCGATGAAGATTTCTTTTTGAATGACACAAATCAAGACGACCCGATGGTCAGTCGTCACAGTAATCATTGCCAATTGGCGAGTCCACAAGATTATCATCGATCACGGAAGCTCGACTGATGTACTTTTCTAGCATGCTTTTACAAAGTTGGACGTTTCCACCACCCAGATTCAACCTTACCCAGAACCTTTTCTCGGGTTTGCCGATGAACAAGTTCATACAAAATGGTACATAGAGCTGTTGACAACCTTCGAAACATCGGATGCCTATCGAACCGTGACAGTACGATACCTCATAGTTGATGCAAACTCGTCCTACAATGTCCTTCCCAAGTCACTAAGGTTGGTCCAAGAACAGATTCAGCAGAATGCAGACCTACTTGCCTGGTGCTTGGCTAACATGTCAGGCATTGACCCAATTTTCCTATGTCACCACTTATCCATCTTTCCACGGCCAAACCCGTGGCTCAAAGGAAATGAAAGCTCGGGTAGGAAAGTCAAACTGCATTCAATAATAGAAAGTATTACAAAGTCTTGTCTCTTAAATTGAAGAACATTGGAACAACTTACTAACACATGGACAAAGTCCTTGTCGACCTTATGGGAAAGATAATGGAGGTCTGTGGTCGTCAAATCCATCACGTCTGCCAACCACCCACACACTGAGAGACCGTGTTCAACAAAGTACGTCATCACAGTATGAGGCTAAATCCAGAAAAATGTTTTTTTTGGTGTTTGCAGTGGCAAATTAGCTTCGTGGTAATCCGACAAAGGATTGAAGCTAAAATCCAAACAATTTTCACAAGCACACGTTAATATTCTCATCTATCAAATTCTGCTACTTTTATGAAGGTTAAAATAAAATAATAATAATCTTATGCAATTGAATTAAGATATTATGTTGTGTCTCCGCGCTTAAACCGCCCCAGCATAAAAAAATAGTGTTTTGCCTATTGGAAAAGCCTAACCACTCACTTTTGACTGGTACACAAAAGACGAAGCAAATTCCTTCTTCCCTTTCCCAAAAATTGGGGTCACCTTTCATCAAATTTATTAAAGATTAAATATATTTTTCTAAATTAGTATAAAAAATTATCTTTCCTTCCTGCATTTACCATTTTTTTGATGGTGTTCTGCAGATTCGACTCCATTAACATGTTATTTCTATTGAAATTGTTGACGTTTCTGTTTTCTCTCTAACACAGCTATCTTCCTCTTCTTTCTCTGCATTCAGTAACAATAATGACTTCTTCAGCGTATTGGTCAAAGTAGGTATCCATTTTTTTATAATACTGAGCAATTTCAATTTTCAGAGACACTGGGTTCTGCCTTTTCTTTACACGTATCTGCAATGGTTGGTAAAAGTTTTCCATTTTCTATGTTTCTGTATGTCAAGGGCACGTTTCGGAAACCTAGGGGTATTTGGTTTTTGGGTCACTCATCCATCATTCTGTCATTAGTACTTGTTACTCGAACTTCAGTGGTGCTTTACATGGATCAATAGTTTCTTACAAATAAAAAACATTTTATTAATGGATGGATGGATTTGTGTTTTTTTCTTTTTCTGGTTGAGATAAAGATCAATGGAGAACGAAGGGGAGTGTAGGAGTTTGAATTTTTCATCCATACTAGATTTCCTGTTAGATTTACCTTTCTCAACTTGAAAGTTAAAACGAAGAGTGTTTTTTCCGAAAATTTGAGCCTTTTGAGTGAAGAACATGAATCTTGGTATTATCATTCACGTCCTAGGTGTCAACTGCCCCAAGTACTCTTCTGATATTAAACGGTGCTAAGGTACCTCTCTCTGCGCTGAATTGGTGGCCTTGTTACTTATTCACGTGGCTGTGTGAATGGTGTGTTAGGAATCTAATTACGACTCTAAGTTTCGCATCGAATAAAAATGAGAAAGTAAAATACGGTATAAAGATATGAAAGATCCATCAATTTATTGTTTAAGGTTTTGAAGAGTGGTGTAAATCTCTTCTATGATTAGACTCATATTTCATTAATGTCTGTGTCTTTTCGATGAATCTTCTTTTTGATACGGTTTTTGGAAACGGCTATTCGTGATTGTGGTTGGTTGGTAACGCGGTTTACAACATGCATTTACTGCTGCAGCTATGTGAATAAGCATCCAATACCCCAACCACAGAATGCATCGTGGGTGATTTGTCGATTTCTTAGTCATTACAATACTGTTTTCTTGTTTAACTGACCAGCTGTTTGAGGGGCTCGTATACTTATAAATGAGATATGGTTTGTATTGTTAGACATAAAAACCTGTAATATCTTGGTATTAAAGCCTCTATAATTGTGTCCAAGTTCCAAAACTCGATTTTTTTATCTTGATTCTTCTATAATTGTGTCCTAGTTAAGTTTGTACATAATGGAAGGTACATCTGTGTATTATCTATATTTTAATTTAAAAGGACTCTTGCCGGAACACGTTAGATATATATACCCAATAGCTTATGCTTTTGGTGTAGTTGGTTACTGGGTATCTGTCATACTTCACGGTAGAAATTTTTGTTGGTACCAAATATACTTTTATTTAAAATAAAAGCTTTCAGAAATACAACAATCACTCTTTACTCTCACAGTGGTGCACACAATCATCACAACTCACAATAACTTAACACAATAACATACACTCCCACTCTTTACTTCTCTGGAATTTCACCCTACACACACCACACTCCTCTTTCTCTTTTTTTCACACACTCACAAACCTTTCTTTCTCTACTGCACCTTTGCTTATTTCTTTCTCGGTGGTGGTGGTTTTCTTTGCACACCTTACTCTCTTTTATAACCAATAAAGGAGCTAAACTCCAAAAAACATTGGTGCAGAGTTTCGGTACTTCAGCAGACAAGGAAAAACACTTTCCCCAAAATCCTCAACTTTACAAAGTAGGGAACATTAGCTTCCTTATTCAACAAGTGGGCCCTTTTAAAGTTTACCTAACAATTTTAGTATGAGTATATTCGTAGCTGTACTTGTCACTCATTATTACTATCTTCTTGTACCCGCAGCCAGAGTTCTCTCACCAAACTTGCTCCTCTTGAAGCAGTGCTCTTTGAACTAGATGGAACTATATGTGAATCCCTTCAGGTTCATACCTTTGTCTTGAGGAACATGCTTCAAGAGGTCGTGTGTCTTTTCTTAGTAGAAAAGTTTTTTTAAGTTCAAAATACTGAAAAAGGCTTTTCTTTTTTGCAATATTCCGTTCAGTCTTTACAAATCAGCATAACTAAGCTCGTGATCTATGGCTATTAAAAAACTAATAGAATCTTCTGCGGTTGTCAGATGGGTTTCAATGCTGATACGGTAACTAAAGAATTCCTTTATGACATTGTTGTTGGCAAAACCAAAGATGAAATAGCCTTGTCTCTCTTTCCTGATGATCTGCCACGACGTTTAAAGTTTATGGAAGATGAGGAAGCCCAGTTCCGGAAGTAAGAAATGCTTGCTTTCGTTTACATTCCTCTCTGATGGATAATTCATAATTTTGAAGCTATAGAAGATAATTCATAATTCTCTGATGGATTGTCCAGAGAGGTTACACATGTGTGGACTAAGGAAGGCTTTGGAAGAATGAGAAGATGGATTGAAAGACGTAAGTTTAAGAGAGCTGCAGTTACCAATGCTTCAAGAGCACATGCAGAGTTCATTATCTCCAAACTTGGCCTCTCAGATTTCTTTGATGCTGTTATTACTAAAGACGAATGTGAACATGGCAAGCCTCATCCAGAACCCTACCTGAAAGCTCTTGAAGCTCTCAAGGCGTCAAAGGATCACTCGTTAGTATTTGAGGTCTGCACTTTTGTAAGGAACATCATATTTTAACAACTTTTTTTAACAACAATAAATTATTATGTATCATTATTTATTGGTTTGTATATTTGAAACTATCCAATCACAAACTACCATATAAGTTATTGTAAAAAAAAGTTGTTAAAGAGTCTTTTTCCCTTTTGTAATGTCTTGTTCAAGAATAAACTCTTGGACCATCATACCTTAACAACATTTTTTAACAAAAGATTATATGTCACTGTTTTATTGGTTCATATAATTGAAACGAAACTACGTAAAAAAGTTGTTAAAAAAACATTTGATATTAAAAAGTTTATTTGTTGTCGCAGGGTTCTTTTCCAGGGGTCAAAGCTGGAGTTGCAGCTGGGATGCCTGTCATTTCTTTGGATTTTAAGGCACCATTTGATCTTTTGATGGAAGCAAAACCTGCATTTGTCATTAAGAATTATAAGAATCACAAATTCTGGGATGCTTTGTATGAACTTGAAAAGGCTGGTAGGGCTCCTTCAGTTTGAATTACTAAGAACATTGTAAGAGTACTGTACTTTATGCTCAACAAAATCAAATCGTTCAAATAACTCATAATTTATAGTAAGATGAAGAATAAATACTAGCTTAAATAAATTTCAAGTTTATTGTAAATTTAGATACTTTTATTAAAAAACCATTCTATTAAATATTAAAAACTTTATATTTTTTAATTGAATTTTCTCATTATTGAATATTATCTTGCACCTGTCTTTTCATCTAAAACAAAATTAGCGTAATTAAATTATCAATCTCTCGTAAATTTAGATATTTTTAATTGGATTTTTATTAAAACAAGTAGAAACTCGCCCAACAAAGCCACAACTAATGTGATTTTCTTTTATATTTTGTGTTAATATAATTTATGTTTTTGCAGGTTCAGAAAAAAAAAACTTGAGTAAAGGCTTCTAGTGAAGAATACATGTTTTTGTACAGCTTAATTGCTTACTTTATTTTAATAGTTAACATTGGATAATAAAAATTGTAANGACCGGCCCTAGAATGGTACGACGTTTAGAGCTCGGTTTGCAAACCGTAATATAGCAGCCAGTCATTCGAAGCCAGATTGTCCAACCTAATCCTGTCCAAGCAAGGGGTAGTATCCACACAATTGCTAGAGGGTTTGTAAAGGGAGGGAGCTCTCGGACTGCACAGAAAAGGTATCAAAGAAGCATTAACTCGATGAGCCATAACATTCTCCGATGAAGATTTCTTTTTGAATGACACAAATCAAGACGACCCGATGGTCAGTCGTCACAGTAATCATTGCCAATTGGCGAGTCCACAAGATTATCATCGATCACGGAAGCTCGACTGATGTACTTTTCTAGCATGCTTTTACAAAGTTGGACGTTTCCACCACCCAGATTCAACCTTACCCAGAACCTTTTCTCGGGTTTGCCGATGAACAAGTTCATACAAAATGGTACATAGAGCTGTTGACAACCTTCGAAACATCGGATGCCTATCGAACCGTGACAGTACGATACCTCATAGTTGATGCAAACTCGTCCTACAATGTCCTTCCCAAGTCACTAAGGTTGGTCCAAGAACAGATTCAGCAGAATGCAGACCTACTTGCCTGGTGCTTGGCTAACATGTCAGGCATTGACCCAATTTTCCTATGTCACCACTTATCCATCTTTCCACGGCCAAACCCGTGGCTCAAAGGAAATGAAAGCTCGGGTAGGAAAGTCAAACTGCATTCAATAATAGAAAGAATTACAAAGTCATGTCTCTTAAATTGAAGAACATTGGAACAACTTACTAACACATGGACAAAGTCCTTGTCGACCTTATGGGAAAGATAATGGAGGTCTGTGGTCGTCAAATCCATCACGTCTGCCAACCACCCACACACTGAGAGACCGTGTTCAACAAAGTACGTCATCACAGTATGAGGCTAAATCCAGAAAAATGTTTTTTTTGGTGTTTGCAGTGGCAAATTAGCTTCGTGGTAATCCGACAAAGGATTGAAGCTAAAATCCAAACAATTTTCACAAGCACACGTTAATATTCTCATCTATCAAATTCTGCTACTTCTATGAAGGTTAAAATAAAATAATAATAATCTTATGCAATTGAATTAAGATATTATGTTGTGTCTCCGCGCTTAAACCGCCCCAGCATAAAAAAATAGTGTTTTGCCTATTGGAAAAGCCTAACCACTCACTTTTGACTGGTACACAAAAGACGAAGCAAATTCCTTCTTCCCTTTCCCAAAAATTGGGGTCACCTTTCATCAAATTTATTAAAGATTAAATATATTTTTCTAAATTAGTATAAAAAATTATCTTTCCTTCCTGCATTTACCATTTTTTTGATGGTGTTCTGCAGATTCGACTCCATTAACATGTTATTTCTATTGAAATTGTTGACGTTTCTGTTTTCTCTCTAACACAGCTATCTTCCTCTTCTTTCTCTGCATTCAGTAACAATAATGACTTCTTCTGCGTATTGGTCAAAGTAGGTATCCATTTTTTTATAATACTGAGCAATTTCAATTTTCAGAGACACTGGGTTCTGCCTTTTCTTTACACGTATCTGCAATGGTTGGTAAAAGTTTTCCATTTTCTATGTTTCTGTATGTCAAGGGCACGTTTCGGAAACCTAGGGGTATTTGGTTTTTGGGTCACTCATCCATCATTCTGTCATTAGTACTTGTTACTCGAACTTCAGTGGTGCTTTACATGGATCAATAGTTTCTTACAAATAAAAAACATTTTATTAATGGATGGATGGATTTGTGTTTTTTTCTTTTTCTGGTTGAGATAAAGATCAATGGAGAACGAAGGGGAGTGTAGGAGTTTGAATTTTTCATCCATACTAGATTTCCTGTTAGATTTACCTTTCTCAACTTGAAAGTTAAAACGAAGAGTGTTTTTTCCGAAAATTTGAGCCTTTTGAGTGAAGAACATGAATCTTGGTATTATCATTCACGTCCTAGGTGTCAACTGCCCCAAGTACTCTTCTGATATTAAACGGTGCTAAGGTACCTCTCTCTGCGCTGAATTGGTGGCCTTGTTACTTATTCACGTGGCTGTGTGAATGGTGTGTTAGGAATCTAATTACGACTCTAAGTTTCGCATCGAATAAAAATGAGAAAGTAAAATACGGTATAAAGATATGAAAGATCCATCAATTTATTGTTTAAGGTTTTGAAGAGTGGTGTAAATCTCTTCTATGATTAGACTCATATTTCATTAATGTCTGTGTCTTTTCGATGAATCTTCTTTTTGATACGGTTTTTGGAAACGGCTATTCGTGATTGTGGTTGGTTGGTAACGCGGTTTACAACATGCATTTACTGCTGCAGCTATGTGAATAAGCATCCAATACCCCAACCACAGAATGCATCGTGGGTGATTTGTCGATTTCTTAGTCATTACAATACTGTTTTCTTGTTTAACTGACCAGCTGTTTGAGGGGCTCGTATACTTATAAATGAGATATGGTTTGTATTGTTAGACATAAAAAAACCTTTAATATATTGGTATTAAAGCCTCTATAATTGTGTCCTAGTTCCAAAACTCGATTTTTTTATCTTGATTCTTCTATAATTGTGTCCTAGTTAAGTTTGTACATAAGGGAAGGTACATCTGTGTATTATCTATATTTTAATTTAAAAGGACTCTTGCCGGAACACGTTAGATATATATACCCAATAGCTTATGCTTTTGGTGTAGTTGGTTACTGGGTATCTGTCATACTTCACGGTAGAAATTTTAGTATGAGTATATTCGTAGCTGTACTTGTCACTCATTATTACTATCTTCTTGTACCCGCAGCCAGAGTTCTCTCACCAAACTTGCTCCTCTTGAAGCAGTGCTCTTTGAACTAGATGGAACTATATGTGAATCCCTTCAGGTTCATACCTTTGTCTTGAGGAACATGCTTCAAGAGGTCGTGTGTCTTTTCTTAGTAGAAAAGTTTTTTTAAGTTCAAAATACTGAAAAAGGCTTTTCTTTTTTGCAATATTCCGTTCAGTCTTTACAAATCAGCATAACTAAGCTCGTGATCTATGGCTATTAAAAAACTAATAGAATCTTCTGCGGTTGTCAGATGGGTTTCAATGCTGATACGGTAACTAAAGAATTCCTTTATGACATTGTTGTTGGCAAAACCAAAGATGAAATAGCCTTGTCTCTCTTTCCTGATGATCTGCCACGACGTTTAAAGTTTATGGAAGATGAGGAAGCCCAGTTCCGGAAGTAAGAAATGCTTGCTTTCGTTTACATTCCTCTCTGATGGATAATTCATAATTTTGAAGCTATAGAAGATAATTCATAATTCTCTGATGGATTGTCCAGAGAGGTTACACATGTGTGGACTAAGGAAGGCTTTGGAAGAATGAGAAGATGGATTGAAAGACGTAAGTTTAAGAGAGCTGCAGTTACCAATGCTTCAAGAGCACATGCAGAGTTCATTATCTCCAAACTTGGCCTCTCAGATTTCTTTGATGCTGTTATTACTAAAGACGAATGTGAACATGGCAAGCCTCATCCAGAACCCTACCTGAAAGCTCTTGAAGCTCTCAAGGCGTCAAAGGATCACTCGTTAGTATTTGAGGTCTGCACTTTTGTAAGGAACATCATATTTTAACAACTTTTTTTAACAACAATAAATTATTATGTATCATTATTTATTGGTTTGTATATTTGAAACTATCCAATCACAAACTACCATATAAGTTATTGTAAAAAAAAGTTGTTAAAGAGTCTTTTTCCCTTTTGTAATGTCTTGTTCAAGAATAAACTCTTGGACCATCATACCTTAACAACATTTTTTAACAAAAGATTATATGTCACTGTTTTATTGGTTCATATAATTGAAACGAAACTATTTAAAAAAGTTGTTAAAAAAACATTTGATATTAAAAAGTTTATTTGTTGTCGCAGGGTTCTTTTCCAGGGGTCAAAGCTGGAGTTGCAGCTGGGATGCCTGTCATTTCTTTGGATTTTAAGGCACCATTTGATCTTTTGATGGAAGCAAAACCTGCATTTGTCATTAAGAATTATAAGAATCACAAATTCTGGGATGCTTTGTATGAACTTGAAAAGGCTGGTAGGGCTCCTTCAGTTTGAATTACTAAGAACATTGTAAGAGTACTGTACTTTATGCTCAACAAAATCAAATCGTTCAAATAACTCATAATTTATAGTAAGATGAAGAATAAATACTAGCTTAAATAAATTTTAAGTTTATTGTAAATTTAGATACTTTTATTAAAAAACCATTCTATTAAATATTAAAAACTTTATATTTTTTAATTGAATTTTCTCATTATTGAATATTATCTTGCACCTGTCTTTTCATCTAAAACAAAATTAGCGTAATTAAATTATCAATCTCTCGTAAATTTAGATATTTTTAATTGGATTTTTATTAAAACAAGTAGAAACTCGCCCAACAAAGCCACAACTAATGTGATTTTCTTTTATATTTTGTGTTAATATAATTTATGTTTTTGCAGGTTCAGAAAAAAAAAACTTGAGTAAAGGCTTCTAGTGAAGAATACATGTTTTTGTACAGCTTAATTGCTTACTTTATTTTAATAGTTAACATTGGATAATAAAAATTGTAATGGTTGCATATGTTAACCAAGAGGTTAGGATTCTAATCGTAATGATAATAAATTCATATTAAAAATTCATTTAAAAATATTCTAAAATTTTTCTTTTAAATTTTTCTTCAATTTTTATAAGAATTTTTATCTCACTTTTATTTTTAATTTCGAATGGAAGGAGTTAAAAGAAATTAAAATATACAAATTATTTTTAAAAAGCTAATTTAGGGATATTCTTTACTATGACACAGTCTTACTTGAATCATATGCACAACCACTGTTCAAGAAATAAAAATCGAGTATAATAAACTTAATTGCATCTCTGAGACTCTAAGTCACAATTGAATATAGACAACTTCATTTAGTTTTAAAAATTATAATAGGTCATTGAAATTAGTAAATTACTAAAATAGTTATCGAAGTTGTTGGGTAAGAGAGGAAAAATACTCACACCTAAAATAAAAAGAATAAAATAAACAAAAAAAAAAATAATGTAATTTTTTAAAAAAATTAAATTAAATTATATATGTTTTCTCTAACTTTACTCTACCAAAAAAAACACAATAACATCATCTATTGTGAATAGAATTTTTTTTTAAAAAAAAACTAATTTTCTCCCTTGTTTTTTTCTAAACACTAAAATCATACAAAAGAGAAGAAAAGATGCTAAGGTGTCTTCCTAAAAAAAATTCTACTCCTTTTAGATGAAAAAGAAAGTAACAAAATATATCTAATTCTTATCCTACATGATCATAATAAACAAATTGGTAGATGTATTATACCTCGTGATCGGTCTGCTAAGGAGAATCCGGAGCCAAAACATGCAACCGATCTGCGGTCAGACAAACAAAAGATAAATATCATTAATGNAATATTATCTTGCACCTGTCTTTTCATCTAAAACAAAATTAGCGTAATTAAATTATCAATCTCTCGTAAATTTAGATATTTTTAATTGGATTTTTATTAAAACAAGTAGAAACTCGCCCAACAAAGCCACAACTAATGTGATTTTCTTTTATATTTTGTGTTAATATAATTTATGTTTTTGCAGGTTCAGAAAAAAAAAACTTGAGTAAAGGCTTCTAGTGAAGAATACATGTTTTTGTACAGCTTAATTGCTTACTTTATTTTAATAGTTAACATTGGATAATAAAAATTGTAATGGTTGCATATGTTAACCAAGAGGTTAGGATTCTAATCGTAATGATAATAAATTCATATTAAAAATTCATTTAAAAATATTCTAAAATTTTTCTTTTAAATTTTTCTTCAATTTTTATAAGAATTTTTATCTCACTTTTATTTTTAATTTCGAATGGAAGGAGTTAAAAGAAATTAAAATATACAAATTATTTTTAAAAAGCTAATTTAGGGATATTCTTTACTATGACACAGTCTTACTTGAATCATATGCACAACCACTGTTCAAGAAATAAAAATCGAGTATAATAAACTTAATTGCATCTCTGAGACTCTAAGTCACAATTGAATATAGACAACTTCATTTAGTTTTAAAAATTATAATAGGTCATTGAAATTAGTAAATTACTAAAATAGTTATCGAAGTTGTTGGGTAAGAGAGGAAAAATACTCACACCTAAAATAAAAAGAATAAAATAAACAAAAAAAAAAATAATGTAATTTTTTAAAAAAATTAAATTAAATTATATATGTTTTCTCTAACTTTACTCTACCAAAAAAAACACAATAACATCATCTATTGTGAATAGAATTTTTTTTTAAAAAAAAACTAATTTTCTCCCTTGTTTTTTTCTAAACACTAAAATCATACAAAAGAGAAGAAAAGATGCTAAGGTGTCTTCCTAAAAAAAATTCTACTCCTTTTAGATGAAAAAGAAAGTAACAAAATATATCTAATTCTTATCCTACATGATCATAATAAACAAATTGGTAGATGTATTATACCTCGTGATCGGTCTGCTAAGGAGAATCCGGAGCCAAAACATGCAACCGATCTGCGGTCAGACAAACAAAAGATAAATATCATTAATGACCAATTAATACGTTTAATGGTCATATTAAATGCGAATATATGTTTTTTTATGAGTGATTGAAAAGTCATATTATACAAGAATATGATATTAATGGACAATTAGCTGGTATATTAGCAAATATTATTAGATTTATTGTTATATCAAATATGAATTAACGAACTTGATTGCTATAAGCCCTATAAATATAGGGTTAATGCCCAGGTAAAGACACTTTGATCTATGATAATAAAATATATACCATTTGATAAAACCGTTCCAAACTTGAGCGGAGTGCCTTTTGCAGATATTTCTCCTCCTAACTAATTTATCTAAGCTGGAACGTACAAGCAGAAAACACAAGTTAAAGGTTAGTGTCTCGGTCTCACAAACTCCACTCCCAACACCGAAATAGTATATATAAACATACAATTTGAGATAAAAAAAAGTACAATCAACATTTACAATTAGAGATCAATTTTTTTATATTATTATTTACTATTGAAATAAATTGATTGATAGTTTATAATATGATTAAATACATCTTATTTTATTTACTTCAGAAATGGATTTGATTGGTCATTCTTATTTAAAAGATTAAATTTATCGATGATAGATAATCTGAAGATAAGTTTTGTTATTTAAATGATTTGAGAGAATAATTTGACGGACACAATTTCATGACATATGTGAGAAAATAAATAAATTAAGTGATTTATCTCTGCCTTTTGAAAGACGTGAAACACCATAATACAGTACATGTCCCATGCTTCTTCTCTTTTTCTGCATCTACGAAACTTCCCTTGGCAAATATTCACCAAGCCTTCTTCTTTGCATTGCCTCCCAAGGTGCTTCCTTCCATCACTTGCAACGTATAATAGCTTTTCTTACTGAATTTTGTTTGATAATACAATAGCTTCTCTTATTCAATCTTGTCCCATCAATTTATTTCGCATTTACTCTGTTAATCTCTTCCATTGGTAACACTTTAACAAAGTTTCATTGATGTGGTGTTCATTAAAAATTGAACCTTTATCTACTTTTTCCAACACCTTGAGATTTGAGGTTGTATGCCCCTTTCTTATTCTGTGGACTCCACTACCCACACCCTGTTTGTTTTCAAGCAAAATTGTGGATTTTTATTTTATTTTATTATATTTTCTGGTTGTGATTAAAAACATGTAGAAGAAGGGAAGATGAAGTTGGATTTTGCACCGTAAATATGTATGATATAGTTGGAAGTGAGACATTACAAATAAGTCCAAATCTCATTTTTCAAAGATTAAGTTTAAAGTGCATTTCTTAATAGATATTTCGAATTCTTGTCCTCATTTTGACATTGCTGTCTTCTAGTTTAACAATGAAGCTCTGCAGAGGGACCTGCATACTTGTAAATGAGATGATCTTTGCATTTTAAGATATAAAATCCATTTTGTGCCTTCACCCCATTAGTTTAAGCTTTTTGAATATCGAAGCTATCATAACATGTTGGATACTTGTTATCGTGATTCTTCCAAATAGAAGCTAAATTTCAGAAAATGTGGCTCTGCAATATATTGTCTTTGTTCTAACTCAAAAGGGATCAAGAATGAGGGTGCATGTCAAATATATAAGCCTTCAGATGGCTGTATGCAACAATTCAAGCTTTGGAATATTTAGTTTGTTGCTTGCTTTGTGATTTAAAAAGAAAATTTAGTACGCAGCCTGATCATTTTGCTGAACTGGTCTCTCATTACCTTCGTGTGGTACCAGCAGCATGAGTTCTCTCACCGGACTTTCTCCACTTGAAGCTGTGCTCTTTGATGTAGATGGAACACTATGTGACTCTGATCCACTCCACTATGAAGCTTTGCGTGAAATGCTCCTAAAGGTACTGCTTCTTTTCTTAGTACAAAATTCTCAATGGAAAACATTGAGAAAACAATATTAGTTATTTTGTTGCAATACTCCGTTTGTGGTATTTGCAAACCACCATCACCAAGCACACGATCAATAGCTATTAGTAAACTGATACGAACATTGGTGGCTGTCAGATTGGTTTTAATGGAGGTGTTCCTATAACGGAGGAATTTTTTGTTGAAAAATTTTCTGGCAAGATCAACGTTGATGCTGCCTCAGTTGCCTTTCCAGAGGATCTGGAACAAGGTTTGAGTTTGAGAAGATAAGGAGCCATTTCCGGAGGTAACCCTGCTCTCTCTCTCTCTCTCTATCTATCTATCTTATTCCTCCATGTGCTTCATTTGAAGGTTTAGAAGATAAATCTTTATGGACTATCCAGATTGGCAAAGAGAGCAACTGAAAGCCTGTGAAAGGCTTGATAAAGTGAGGACATGGGTTTGAAAACCGTGGTCTGAAGAGAGCTGCAGTTACCAATTCTCCAAGAGAAAATGCAGAACTCATGATCTCAAAACTTGGTCTCTCGGACTTCTTTGATGTTCTTATTATTGGTGATGGAATGTGATCGTGGTAAACCTCATCCCGACCCTTACTTGAAAGCTCTTGAAGTTCTGAAGGCATCGAAGGA